GTTTTTACCTCTTAGCATGCCAGGTGTGAGGCACACTGCAAACAATTGAGCTGAACATCAGAGCAGTGACGAAGGAGAAGAACACGAGGTAGATGAGGCCTTCCAGTCCGTCATAACACAGTCCTGTCATGGCCTGGACATAGTCCTGCAGAAAGGGGAGACACCACTTTTATTATCAGAGTCTACATTCAAACATCTAAAAGCTATTTGGGGAACCAAAGAAGAAAAGAGCAAAACAAAAATGCAGAGGTAGTGAAAGGCTAGAGTTGCTGTTTTTTTTTTTTAAGGTCTAAAAGTGGATTCTAAGAGGGTCTTTAAAATGCATCCACTGTGATTTCTCATTTAAACTAGGTCAAACCAATGAGCTCAGGGTTGGCTAAGTAGAAAGGCAGGGCATTAGTTTCAGGTTTGAAAAGACGCTCTACACTCCACAATATCACGATTGAGAATCTCCATTCTGCATGATGCACTGCACAGCAGGCACACATTTCGTATTCTACTGAAGATACTCTCATTTTCATGAAATAATAAGCGTAGGCGCTTTACCAGGGTAGATGTTTAAGAGAGAAGACGGAGCAGAAAGCAAAAAGAAAAAGTGCTACAGTGCACGTGTGCACTTGGAATTTGGAAGCCACTGAGGGACAATCCTCCAAGGCACTGCGATAGCCAAGTACTTGTCATTCTAGCAGCTTCATAAATGGTACATAGCCAGCATGAATTGGACAAGAACTCGCATACAAGAAGGCAAATGTTATTTATGGTGACAGGTGTTGTCAACTGCAAAAGCATAAAGGAGGGGTTTGCTTTATTCAACTAAGCTGCACTACAAAGATGTCACAACGAATCAATTTCCAGGACCCTTTTTCATCAGACATGGAGCAACTCTACAGTAAGGATGTCTCAGTTTGTAAGTCTTCTCCTGCCTGCTCACCATGTGCAGGCTGCGACAGTCCACCAGGGCCGTGAGCTGATGTAGACTGATCTCTGTGGTGTTCAGTATCCCCTGGATCTCTTCCAAACTTCCCTGAAAATTAATTAGGAAAAAACACAAAATTTGCAATTCTTAAAGGTTTAACTTGAAATCCACTTTTGGCACTTGGGTATGCTTGGATGCCACAACCATGACAAAACCATTCGTCAAAAACAAACTAAATTAATTAATATAATTTGCATTGTCTACATGCCAAAATGCAACTAAGTGGTAGTTTCCTGCCTGTAAATCGCATCAACAGTCAGGAATCAGATAAAAAGAGGCAGGTGAAAAGTATTGTGTAACAGTGATAAATTCACTGATTATTCAGTCTACGCACATTTAACAGGGATGTGTCTGTCATCAATATACAACAGTTCACAGCAGATCCAGCTGAAAAAGCAGATTTGAATGTATGATACATTTTAATGGACCGTTTCCCTTCATCCTCCAGTTCTCATTACAGCTACAGTGGAAAATACATCTGATTGCCTGATATAAACATTTTCACAATCTCAGCACATTTCTCTGTGTGGGTATGTGAAGTGAAATATGCCACTCTCTATTCCCAATGTCAGCTCTCATTTGTGCCTCTGTCAACACAGTGTAAGGACCAGCGCTGGACAATACCACAGTGTTGTATTGACAAGGGCCAGTGAAAGCCTAATGCAGCTAAATGGACATAATGCAGGTCCCAGGTGGGCTGTCAGCAGATCTTTATGTGGACAGGTGCACTTCACTTCTCCGCAGGTCGGTCGCCAATCCCATTCACTGGGATATTCTGTTGGTAACAGTACAATAGCAGAGGACAGCTTGTGGCCTGGGGGGGTCAGGTGTTTATGGTAACAGCTACCCTGTAGTTTGGCATTTCTAGTAAAGAGTGTGTTGATGGGGCTGGAAACATACCTTAGTTTGTTTATACTCTCTGGTGGCAGAGCGCAGCAGTTCAGACACGTCATCCTGCATCTCCACTAATGCTTTGTGGCTCCCGGAAAGCTTCTGAAATAAAGTATGAATACTGTAGCAGCCTGGCACATCTCAAAAGTATTTCCATATAGTTTCCTTTTATTTACAGTCGTACTAACAATAGATGCCTGGACTTGCCTGGACAACGGCACTCAGAAGTTTTGATTTATTTATGCGGTTTGCAAGATGAGATGTAGGTAGTCCATTAAAGCAAACTATAGATTCACAGTAAAAATGACATTTTACTTCTCTAAGCTTCTAACACACTTCCTCTGATGCAAGCACATGCTATCAGCACGGACACACAGGAAAAGCTGCTCTGCATCAGGTTTCCTGCTGGCAGAATGGGACGTATTGTACTATTGCATGGCAAAGGCAATGGGAGTGACTCATTGTGTCCACTTGAATTCTTACCAATTACAAGTTCATACATCATGCAGAGAATACATTTATAACACTGACTTCTGAGATCTGAGTCTTATCAACATCACTTTAATGTTGAGCTAGTAAAGCTACCAGTTACACAGCTTATAGGTATCCATGTTAAGAGTAAATGGTTTCATTTAGCATGTTAAAAACTCAGACATGCAGAAACAAATGTAATAACATATGCAACAAACCTGCTGGAAGGGGTTGGTTTGTTCCAAACTGCAACTAAGGTAGTACTGCAGGATATCTGTGAATAAAGGACAGGAAGAACAGAATGGGTTGGCAACTCCGACCAATAGTCCACACCCCAAAGATATTCAACTCAATATCACATGCAGTATGACAAAAGAGAAGCAGCAAAAGCTTACATTTAAAAAGCTGGAAGAAGTGAATGTTTGACATTTTCACCTGAAAAATGACTAAATCGATACTCTATCTAAATAGTTGCTGGTTAATTTTCTGTCCATCAAATAACTGACCAATTGTTTGATTAAAGAAGCCCACCAAAACAACAGCCAAGCTCAGGAAACGTGAAGTTTGTTTTGTTCCTGAAGTCTAAACTGCACCATCATTGTCCAACAAGCTGCACCAACAAGTTGATTTTTACACTGTAAAACATTCCACTCGGTCCATATATCATTATCGGTTTCTTTAATGCTCCCAAATATAGACATTGGTATTGGCCCCAAAATATCTGTTGTCAGGTAATAATATATTTTGTGTACAAAATTTGAAGACCTGATGTAGGGCTTTAGGCAATTGAGAAAAATTGTGACTTTTGAATATAGAAGGACATTTTATTGACTAAACAATGAATCAATTAAGTGACAAAATAAATGCAGCTGTACACTGGGGGGACAGACAGGGAGAGCAGAGTCAGAGCTTTGTACACACTGTGTAAGGACCAAAAGCACTAATGGAGTTAAATACTACAACCAAAAGCTGCATTTTAATCATTCCATTCAATTATATTTAGTCATACATGCTCATTCCTATATCACTAAAGAATACACAGTTTCGTCTCTTGATCTCTTCTTATTTCACACTGCATTGTGCTTAGTCTTTACAGTTACTGCTTCAACACTGTTTTTTTGAGGAAAAGAGGCTGATAGCCAAGTAACAAACAGATAGAGACTTTTTATTTCATTTTCTACCTCTGTCTTATTGTTTCCTGCTGCTCTGTTAGAGCTCCACTGCTTCTGTAACTGTGCTCCCGCTGAGCTAATCCTGAGTTCTGAGGTTAAATGTTCCAAAACAATAAAGTTCACGGCACGTGTGCTGTAATAGTATAAATTTGTTTTTCCCTTGACACAGCAACATTTAAACAACAACAGAACACAGAGCCTGTGAGAGGCTTAGGTATAACCCTTCTTACTGCACAAAGAGCGGTTACATCATCTCTGGAGTTATTCTTAAATTACAACATGACCAAACCTGTATTCTGTTCACAGTACACCATGAATCGAAGCAGATTGTAATTAGGGTTTTGGACTTTGCCATTACAACCCACTCCAGCTACTTCTTCCAACACACAGCAGTGAGTAGGAGTGGATGAGAAATCCCGAGTGACTTAAAAGCTACAGCAATGTCCACAAATACAAGCTGTGAGAACACCACTACCGACCTAACAGACGGTGCAAGTGACGTCCACACTCACTGCTGTGTCAGGAGCTTGTTTCCCACACATTTCAGCAAACTGATGAGAGGAGGATTTCCGGCATAGAGAAGCCCATATCAAGCAAGCTTCTGTCACACATCCACCCACACACAGAGATCAGGAAGAGCAGATTTCTTTGGAGTCTGACTCTTGGTAATGGATGGAAAAACTGATGCCTCATCATGGGCTGGTTTTGGTTCCTGTGTCAGTGTGAACTGTGCTGATATACAGACTAAAATCTTGCTGCCAATATACAGTGGGTTGAAAGAAGACTCATAACGATCAAACAAATTAATATATTATCATTGATTTTTTTTCACTGTTCCAAGTAGCAGATAATAAGAGTGTCTTCTTCCCATGGACTCAGTGATGAAACCTCAGACAAAACTTTAGTTATAATGATTTGGACAAGGCCACGGTATTGTTCTTTTTCACAATCAGATTGATTATCAATGAGCCATAGCTTCCAGCTACAGTCACAAGATAGCTTGTTTATTGGACAGAGATTTGGCTGTACTGTATCTCGTTCAGGTGAAAAAGTTTGGCAGGGTAAGAGAGTTCAAACAAATCTGGTTTCAGTCCCTCCGGTCGAGTATTTTGTTATCACGCTGTTTTATGTATTCCAAGCATGAGAAACTGCTAGCTACCAAATGGCAACCAAACTGAACAAGCTAATGTTTTAGAGAGACTAAACTCCTCAAAACAAGCTCAACGTGACTAAATACTTAAATATGGTTACTTACAGGAAAAATCCTGCATAATTTCTTAGCTGATTTTTGTCACTGCTGCTATCAAGTATTTTCCAAAGACCATCAGAATAACAGAAATACTAGCTGCCATCTGACAGATTTCACAGATTCTGAACTCTCACTCTCTGTTTGGATTAACACCATGTGTCTGACATAATTGTGCAATGAGGGGGAAGCAGAGAAATGAAAAATAACAATGAGGGTTGGTGAAATGATGCATGTTCAAGAAAATATAACAGCTATCTGGGGGAGGAAAGCAATAAATCCACTGTAGTAATAACACACGTTGTTCTATCCAGAGATTTGTCTGGTGCAATTTCAGCAAAGCATGAGCTATAAAAGGGAAAGAATACAACTGAGTAAAATGTTGGCTTTCCAAGGTTGACATTTGCAGGTAAAAGTAACCTAAATTTAAAGGCAAACAATATATTGGAGTTTGTAATCATCTTTTATATTAATTTGCAATATTATTACAATAGTAATAAACTTAAACAATGTGTCAAAGTATAAAAATATTCTTTTAACGGCTGAATAGTTAACATGTGTTACAGGGGAAAAAATAGAACTGAAAACCCCCATACTGCATGAATCAGCCCTGAGGCAAAATACAGTTTCATGGCTGCAGCGTAATACAGTTTAGTTCATAGAGTCGGTACTCGTGGTTCAAAATTACAGCTGATGCTCTGCCTTGAGTAACCGGGAAAAAAAAAAGCTTGGTTTGTGTATTGAGCAACCATCATATTTTAGAGAAGACAACAAAGACAAAATGAAAAACAAGAAGCTCAAGTAGGCAGGGAGTCCTCTGTGTTTTTATTTCTAAGCACCATCTTCTCCGACTGAAGAGGGACGCAGGAAATATATGGCGTCTCTGATCCTCCTCTCCGCTCCTCTTATCTCTCTCATACACTCTGCCTCACACAAACACTCACAAACCCGAGGCACAACCATTTTTCCCCTTACACACAACCCATCATGGGACAGATTGGGTAATTACCAAAAGGACAGCCTTCTGTACTGCTTAAAAAGGCAGCCCATTGCCCTCTTGACCCTGCTGCAGATGTGGCAGTAATTTTTAGAGGCTTTTTATGGCCCGTGGACAAGACCAAGCCCACGCTTTGGAACAATGTCGTCTCACTGCTGCACAATAATCAGAGCATTGAGACCAGGAAGGGGGAGGAGATTAAACAATTCAGGCTGAGATTACTAATATTTAACATTTTAAAGAGTTGTTCGAGTTGTCAACATGGTAACTTCAGTGCCATATAAATAGTACTTTCTGTATGTAAATCATACCTTGATTGATGACTCCAAACTGGTTTGCGACTTTGGTGACATATGTGTCAGGAGCAACACAGAAGTCACTGGAGGTCTATAAAAACAAAAAAACATAAAGACTTAAAAATGAAGAAGACACACACTTGTAGTGACATTTTCACTGCATACTAACAACAAAGGTGTCAAACAGCTTCACATACACAACACTAGAAGCACCGTTGATTGATTGCAGCTTCAAAAACACTTTTAGAATGTGACAGGCTGATTTTCATTTCCATTTCAGCTGAGAGCAATCACATAAACTAAATCAAGCATTAATAATGTGTTTTTTTTTTGTCCTCTATGAGGTAGCCAAATTGGCTGCTTCACTCTTCTGTGAACAAAGGCTGCAATATTGTGGATACAAAGCTAATCCCAATTATATTGTCTGTGATTACAGGTCTCACCACCATTAATCTTAAGGATTTCTGGGAAATGCTGAGTGACAAGAAAAATAAAAACCCCTGTAATTGTAATGCAACCAAATACAACAATTCTGTATTAGATAGAACACTGAGGAAACAAACACATACTTATTATTCAGACTAATGGAAAACAAAAACGGAATATTATAAATAAAATGCTGGGTGTAGGCGGCCACATAAACTCTCTTCTCATTGGGAACAATTGGAAAAAATATGCTGTCGCTCAGAAAAAATA